AAATCTACCTTAAGTCCTTGAGCTTAATATACCAGAGGGAAAGCTTGTTTCATAATGGACGCCAGAAAGGATGTCCGTTGCATAACAGACGATACACATGCCTACAAAAGTACTGCTCTCCTCTCGAATCTGTTTACTGCTATACCTGATACGAGTTGGTGTCCACCGCTGCTATCAGGTATGCCAGATTAATCTGTATTCCATTGCCCTTTTTTTTTTTTAACGTACTGGCCCTATTAAAATTAGCTCCAGTAAGTTGCATGTAGTAGTAGTTCTTGCTTATCAAACATTAAATAATCCTTTTTGCCGAATCAGATCCGGTCTGATTTTGAGAATTTCCCGTTTTCACTAATAATTATGATACTTATCAGAATCAGCCCGGATCTGATTCGGCAACCACTAACCCTATACAAATTCTTGACTGTCGCTGTATTGAAGGATAGAAATTGCCATTTGTAAGCAATCGTAAGAAAAATTGCCTCTCATATATCTGCAATACAAATAGCAACGATAATCACCCGGCGTTGGGGTACCTTGAGAATGGATCCAGTTCTGCTGTCACCCAGACTGCCGATGTGGTGAGTTCACCAGAGCTGGGCGCGCAAGTGAGGTCCACGACATCCGGGCTTGTGTAGCTGGCCATACGGTCAGCTGCTGTTTGCTCTGGAAATCGTCATGTCCAACTTATAGAGAGATCAATAGCTCTTCTGTGATAATGTAGCTGTAGCGATAGGAAGCCGTCACACACCGTGATATCTCGTTTACACGCCTCGACCTCCCGCGCAGTGTCTGCCCATTCATAATACATGGATACTTTTCCAAGATGCCCTCACATGGTTTAGTCACGGTGTGTTAAGTGCCCACTCATTGATGTCGCAAATGGCGACATTAAGTCCTGGGATACTTCACCGCCATATACCAAGGTATAGCAGCGATCGCAGACCAAATCTGTTTGAACTTCTCCCAGGGGATGCGGAATATTCAAATGAACCGCAGGATTGGTTTTTGGGCCACGAGGATATTTATTTCCATGCGTGGATGTCGTGTCTACCTCTGCAACATCGCCGCTATCTTCAACTGCTAGGCGATTAGTCAAGTATTTGCTGCGAGTTTATGATCTATCTAGCTACCCTAACGATATCTGCGATAGCGTCGACTTTTTGTAGACAAAATACGTAGCAGAGCAAAACCAGACAGACGTCCTCGGCTGGAGTAGGTCCTGATAATACGTTTGTATGTTCAGCAGTATTGACGTTGTTCGCAACCTCAACTGCATACCACCTTGCGTAGTAGGTGGTGCTTACGTTGTTGAATGCGATGACATCGAATCGTCCGACACCGATTTTATATTACTTTGAGCCTTGATGTCACTGTTTATTGACGTTTCATCATCAATTGTATCATCCACCTGCAATTTTTCCATCTCCTTCATTATATTAGCGCGATCTTGCAGCTAATTGAGTCTACATCCTAAAACGCTTTTCTGAGGCACCTAACTCAACATCACTGTTGGCTGCAGCTCCAGCATTCTCCACGCCTTTCCAACAATGGATTTCCACTTCCCAACGCTATGCAAAACTTTACTCTAGATAAACGTTGCAGATGATTCAAGACAGGCTCCAAACTTGTCTCTGTCATTTTGTGTTTTTCCTCCTCCGACAGTTCCACCAGTTTACTACTTTCTCGTCGACAGAGCCGCACATAGTCAACACGAGATACTGAAGGCTGTACATGATTTGACCGATTCTCGTAACGTCGGATTTGCTGGTTGACGTTGCAGAAGTTGCTATAGGCGGTTGATTCTTAATCGGATGGAGCTGGTGACTGAGCTAATTGCAAGCGCGCCATTTTCAATAGGTCCGTAGGTTTTGCACGCTTCGGTCATGCTCCAGCGCGCCGAATCGTCATGGCGGGCAATTCTTCAAAGTCATGCCCGTGTCGACACACATACGTGACGTGGCGACAGACCAGACTTTGGCTGGTAGTAATAGATCACGTACAAGCCCACTCAATTGCGTTGCATATGAGTAGCCTTCCTTCCTCAAACTCGAAACACCAACTTTTTGTCTTCAGTGTGATGCGCTTTTCATTGCTATCATG